ATTTAAGTTGTTGATTTGTTTTGAGTTAATTTTTATATATGGTGTGAGGTAAAGGATCCACTATGATTCTTTTGCATGTGGGGGATTTGTAGTTATTATAGCACCATTTTATGAAGATTATTTTTCTTCTTGGCATGATCTGAGCATTCTTGTTAAAAACTAACTGTCCATAATATATTTATTTATTTCTGGACTCTCAGTTCTATTCCATTGGTCTGTATGTAGAACCTATGCCAGTCTCATACTACTTTCCACTTAGTTAACATACAATGTACTATTAGTTTCAGATGTACAATATAGCGATTTAACACCTCCATACATCAGCCAGTGTTCATTACAGGTGCACTCCTTAATCCCCATCACATATTTAACCCATCCCCCTACTGCCTACCTTCTGGTAACCATCAATTTGTTCTCTGTATTTAAGAATTTGTTTCTTGGTTTGCCTTTCTCTCTCTCTTTCCCCCCTTTATTTGTTTTGTTTCTTAAATTCCACATATAAGTGAAGTCAGTTTCTCTGACTGACTTATTTCACTTACCATAATATTCTCTGGCTCCATCCATGTCATTGCAAATGGCAAGATTTTATTCTTTTTATGGCTGAGTAATATTCCATTGTATTACATGTATCACATCTTCTTTATCTAGTCAACAGTCAATGAAAGTTTGGGCTATTTCCATAATTTTCCTATTGTTGATAGTGTTGCTGTCAACATTGGGGTACATGTATCCTTGTGAATTAGTATTTTTGTATTCTTTGGGTAAATAACTAATAGTGCAATTGCTGGATCATAAGCTAGTTCTATGTTTAATTTTTTGAGGAACCGCCATACTGTTTTCCAAAGTGGCTGCACCAGTTTGCATTCCCACAAAGAGTGCACAAAGGTTCCCCTTTATCCACATCCCTGTTGTTTCTTGTGTTGTTGATTTTAGCAATTCTGACAGGTATGAGGGGATATCTCATTGTAGTTTTGATTTACATTTCCCTAATGATCAGTGATGTTGAGCATCTTTTCATGTGTCTGTTTGTCATTTGTGTGTCTTCTTTGGAGAAATATCTGTTCTTGTCTTCTGCCCATTTTCAAAATGAATTATTCATTTTTAGGGTGTTGAATTTTCTAAGTTCTTTATATATTTTGAATACTAACTCTTTACTAGATATGTTATTTGTAGATATCTTCTCCATATTCCATATGTTGCCTTTTAGTTTTGCTGATTGTTTCCTTCAGTGTGCAAAAGCTTTTTATTTTGATGAGGTCCCAATAGTTTATTTTTGCTTTTCTTTTTCTGGCCTTAGGAGACATATCTAGAAAGAAGTTGGTACAGCTGATGTCAAAGAACTTATTGCCTGTGTTCTCTTGTAGGATTTTTATGGTTTCAGGTCTCACATTTAGATCTTTATTTAATTTTAAATTTATTTTCATGTATGGTGTAAGAAAGTGGTCCAGTTTCATTCTTTGGTGTGTTGCTGTCCAGTTTTCCCAGCACCGTTTGTAAAAGAGACATTCTTTTTCCTATTGGGTATTCCTTCCTGCTTTGTCAAAGATAAATTGACTATATAATTGTGGGTTCATTTCTGGGTTTTCTATTCTGTTCTTTTGATCTATGTATCTATTTTTGAGTCAGTACCATATTGTTTTGATTACTACAGCTATGTAATATATCTTAAAGTCTGGAATTGTAATACCCCCAGCTTTATTTTTTTCAAGATTGCTTTGGTTGTTTGGAGTCTTTTGTGATTCCATACAAATTTTAGGATTATTTTGAAAAAGGAGCAAAGTTGAAGGACTCCTACAAACTGATTTTAAGCTTTATGAAAGGCTATGATAGTAAAGAAAGTGTAGTATTGTCAAAAGAGCGGACATAGACCAGTAGAACACAAAACAGTCTAGAAATAGACCTATGCATATATGGTCGATTGATCTTTGACAAATATGCAAATGTAATTCAACAGAGAAGATGGTATTTTCAACAGATGATGCTGGAACAACTAGATGGCCACTAGCCAAAAACCAAAAGAAACTGCAACAATAAAAAAACTTTGATCCAAACGACATACCATATAAAAAAATCAACTCAAAATGAATCACAGATCTAAATGTAAAAACTAAAACTATAAAACTGCTAGACAGAAACATAGAAGAAAATCTTTGTAACCTTGGCAAAGATTTCTTAGATATAATGCCAAAATCACAATCCTCAAAAAATTAATAAATTGCACTTCATCAAAATTAGAAACCTCTACTCTTCAAAAGTGTTGTTAAAAGAATGAAAAGAAAAGCTACAGACTGGAAGAAAATATTTGCTGAATACATAAAAAGTAACTGTCAAAAGTCAACACTGAGCAGTTAACTCAATAAAAAGTGGCATACAAGTTTGAAAAGAGCCCAAATGTCCATCAACTGATGAATGGATAAAGAAGATATGGGACGTATATACAATGGAATATTACTCAGCCACAGAAAAGAAAGAAATCTTGCCATTTGCAATAACATACATGGATCTAAAGAGTATTATGCTAAGTGAAGTAAGTCTAAGAAAGGCAAAAAACCGTACGATTTCACTCATATGTGGAATTTAAGAAACAAAACAGATGACCATAGGGGAAAAAAGAGGCAAACCAGGAAACAGACTCTGAACTATAGAGAATAAACTAAGGGTTACTGGAGGGGAGATGGGTGGGGGATGTGTTAAATGGGTGATGGGTTAAGGAAGGTACTTGTAATGATAAGCCACTAAATTCTACACCTGAAATTAATATTACTCTCTAAGTTAACTAGCTGGAATTTAAATAATAAGTTGAAAAAAAGAAATAAAGAAAAATTGGCATAAAGTTTGAACACTTTACGAAGAATGTGTATGAATGGCAAATAAACACAAGAAAATATACTCAGATCATTAGTCATGAGAAAAATGCAAATTAAATGACAATGAGATCTTTGTATTAGAATAACCAAAATTAAAATATGATAATACCAAGAGCTACACCTGCAACTCTGATACACTGATGGTAGGAATGCAAAAGGGCAAAAGGAATGAAAATGGTTTCATAATTTCTATAAAGTTATATGTATATTTACCATACAACCCATCAATCACACTCCAACTACACTTTCATTTTGAGTAAAATGAAAACTTATATTCAATAAAAAACTGAGTAAAATATATAGAGTGGTTTTATCCATTATTGCCAACAAGTGGAATCATTCTAAACATCACTTATTTAGTGGTAGATAAATTATGACATCCATATAATGGAATACTTATCATTAATAAAAAGGAACAAACTGTTGACACATCAGTAAACAATAAACCTCTAATGTATTATGCTAAATGAAAGCCAAACCCGAAATACTATATGTTGTGACTTATATGTAGTATACCTATGCATAAACATGTATTTCTAATTATGTGCTTACAATGTATATTATAAAACCTCATATACATATGTAGGTATGTATTTGTACATCTATATACGCATGCCCATTCCCAAAAGCAATGAGCAAAACTAGTATCAAGACCTCCAGATCTTGGTTTCTTTCTTTTTTGAGAGAGAGAAAGCAAAAGCATGTGCAAGCAGGGAAGGGAGGGTCAGAGTGAGAGGGAGAGAGAATCACAAGCAGGCTCCAAGCCCAGTGCAGAGCTTGATGCAGGGCTCTGTCCCCCAACCATGAAATCACGATCTGAGCCAAAATCAAGAGTCAGATGCTCAACTGACTGAGCCCCCCCAGGTGCCCCCAAACCTTGGTTTCTGAATCCCATTCTTCATTAAAAGGAACCAGATTCCTTTATTTATGACTATAAATAATATATTTATATTTATAGTCATTTGTAATTTATTATAAATTATTAAATTTGTTATAATAAATTATTATAAATTATTATTATTTATTAATACTAACTTATAAATACTATATAGTACTTATACTATGAATAATATAACTATAAATGTATAAATAAAGGCAAACTTTAGGTCAGTTCCTCTCTAAATGATTACAAATTCTTCTCAGTTACCACAATTTTACTTTTTTTATGTTCAGTTTATACTGATTAAGGTGATGTTGAAAACATTACATTTAGGGAAGTAGAGTTTATCCTATTCCTTGACGGTGGACTAGACTTAGTTTAGTTTGGAACTCAGTTCCAGAAAAAATAGAGTATGGACAAGTTAAAAATGAAAACATTCTTTGGAGAAACTTGGAAAGACACTAATTTAGCTGTGGGATAAAGCTTAACTTCGCTAAGGGTATCATATGGGTATGATACCTTTCTGGTATTCACCTCTGTGATATTGTTTCCAAAAACCCCATAACCCAAGTCTTATAATGAGAAAATATATCAGATAAACTCAAATTAAGAAAAATTCTACAAAATACCTAGTCAGTTCTATTTAAAACTGTCAAGATCGTGAAAACAAGGAAAGGCTGAGAAACTGTCCCAGACCAGAGGAGATTAAGAAGACATAACTATATGCAATGTGTTATCCTAGAATGGATTCTGGAACAGAAAAAGGACACTGATAGAAAAACTAATGAAATCTAAAATTGTCTGAAGTTTAATAGTAATGTGCCAATGTTAGTTTCCTAGTTTTGACAAAAGTAATATGATAATGTGAGATGATGACATTAGAAGAAACTAAATCTGAAGAATATAGAAGAATTCAGTCTCTGCAACTTGCTATAAATCTGAAATTATTCTAAACAATCTAATTATTCTTTAAAAGTTACTATCATGCTTACTCTGTAAAAGCCTTTCCTGTACTATAAGAGGACAGCCTCTTAACTCATTTTTCCATCCTCTGAGAGAAAGGAACCACAACTCTGTTTCTATACATCCTCCTTTTCGCTCCTTGCAAGTGGACTTCAGTAAGAATTTGCATCTGCCAGCACTTTAAGGGTCCTCTGGTACTTTGCCAGCGAGACACAGTAAATGCTCCATAAGTAGTTGTTACTTATCTTCATATTTTTCGTTATAATTCAATTATAATTTTTTTCTACTAGGAAATAATCTGACAGATCTGCCTAGTGGTATCCACAACCTTTTTTCACTGAAGGAGATAAATTTTGATGATAACCCTTTGCTGAGACCTCCAATAGAAATCTGTAGAGGAAAACAACTCTATACAATTACACACTATCTACAGAGGGCAGATCAAAGAGATGGTAGGTGATGAGTGAGTGACTGACTAGCTTACATGGCATTTTCTAGTATTATCTATAAATTAAAAGATAGTTTGCTTTCATTAGAGGTTTTCAATCTGGCAGAGGAATGAAAAATTTTATCATCTTCCCCTTTCTGAATGTTAGGGATTTATATTATTTAATCTGTGTCCATACAAACTAAACCATTGAAAACAGGCAAACTCAAGTGGAGGATTGGGCTGCTTTCCACCTGTTGGCCTCAATGCCTTTAACAGGTTTTTCATTATGGTTGTGGCCAGACTTAGATATTCCACACAAAAATGTATTCACTGGTTCTGATCTATAGTTGTTCTAAAACTCTTATCTGGCCTTGAAGAAAGTCCTTAGATCTTTCCATTAAACCCAATCAGGTTTTGGCCCACTATAATCACCTGTCTGCAGTCTGTGGGTAGTCTTCATTTTTTGTTCTTAAGCATTCCTTTGGTTGTCCCTGATTATTTCACACAGCAGGTCCATTTTCTTTAAGTGTCTTTCCACTGGACCAGATAGAGACTGGTTTCTCCAAGCCTCTGAGATGGAAGTTTCACTGTCCATTTTTTTTCCTTGGGGCTAGGTTCCCATCAACTAAGCTTTTTCCTAGGATTCTGACTTTGCTTCTCATTGTCAGTCCTTAGACTGGATCCAGATATTGGTACTCCAATTCAATGCAGTACTTAAGAAGTATTAAATCAATTTAATAAGTACTGATCCAGATGTGGGGAAAGGGAATATACAAAACTCTCCACCCAAATCATTCTATTATATTCCCTGTCTGTGTAATCAGAAGCTTACATCAGCATAATCTCATAGTTTAGTGATATGGTCACTAAAAATGTACAGTCCTTTTTAAGCCACAATATGCATTCATATGCATGGCTATCAGTCACAAGTTTTTGCAAGACTTGGGCCTCACTGACGGAAGGAACCTCAGAGATAAAAGTTACAGTAGCTGTTTTCTCTAACATGCTAAGCAAGTTGGTTCTGCTAATTATTACCATAAAAAGGAATATTTTTGGTAACTATTTCTATAAAATAAAGTTTTTAGAAGTGTCCAAGGATCCATAAAGTATTCCTGTTAGGAATACAGTACTTTAGAGAAGGGCTGTAAAGTTACACAATTGAACTTCCCTGCTAAAATTCTGTCACTCAAGTTCCCAAGGAAGAGGGATTCATATTATTCTAGCCTCAATGGGGAAAGTGCAATGGGAAACGGCAACAGATCAAAGTCAGCAAAAATGAGAGAACCCTAGTCACTTATCTCCTTTCTATGTTCAATAGGACTTCATACTGCAGACACTCAGGGACAGTGGAGAGGAAGTTGTCATGAGAGACGTATTTATTCCCCAGTTAACAAAGAACATGGGGTTCCTTCCTTATAATTTTGCTTAGGATAGTGGGCTTTCATTTATATTATTAGCATACAGTGTAGCATGAGGGACTGAGATGATTACAATGGGGTACGAGATTGCTAGTTCTTTTTTATTTTTTAATTTTTTAAATGTTTTATTTATTTCTGAGAGACAGAGAGAGAGAGAGAGAGAGAGACAGCGTGAGCAGGGGAGGGTCAGAGAGAGAGTCACAGACTCTGAAACAGGCTCCAGGCTCTGAGCTGGCAGTCAGCACAAAGCCCGTCGCGGGGCCCGAACCCACGAACCGCGAGATCATGACCCGAGCGAAAAGTCGGATGCTTAACCGACTAAGCCACCCGGGCACCCCGCGAGATTGCTAGTTCTTGAAACTTCCCAAAGTACCTTAGTCAACGGAATAAATCTAGTCCAAGTTAGTTAGAAGCTTAAAAAAACAAAACGAAACAAAACAAAAAAATCTAAAAACTCTTCTACTTATATCTAAGCTAGCATTCATTAAATAAGTGATTTGAATATAAAATATACATATACACACTATATTTATATAGTAGATATGAATTTGGTTTCTCATGATGGTACATAAAGCCAATTAAAAAGCCAGAATCAAAGGAAAGAGTTAAATTCATTTCAAACTGTGAAAGAATTAAAGAAAGGATTTAAAAATCACTTTGAGGTTGCTTATAATATACTTTTATATGGCCATTTTATGTTATAGGTTATTCAGATTTTAGAAAAGATAGAACAAATGATCCACATTTCAGTTTGTAAATGAGATCTGCATCTTCCTTTTCAATTCTACTTGACATAGACATTTGATAGGAGCACAGAAGTAAGGAACACATATTTAATATTAACCCAAAATAGAGTATGTCTTTCAAAAGAGATGGCTTACATTTTCTTTTATGTTCAAATGTAGAGAAAATCCTAGAGAAGATTTTCAACATAGTTGCCAAAAACATCACTGAAACAAATTTTAAGGTTTTGTGTCAAAAACTAAACCTGGCAATCTCAGAAACAGACATGTCTACAAAGAGGTATGTGAATGACTACATGGGGCATAAATTTATTCTCATGTTGATTTATATCATACTGATATTTTAAGGTTTTGAAACAGTCATATTAACATGAATTCTGATTTGTTGTAAAAGACTCTGATTTTAGTTTACTATATATTTGAGAATTAGGCGAGTAGAGCAGTTAAGGGTAAGAGCTCTCAAGGCAAACTGCTTGGCTTTAAATCATAACTAATTTTGTGGCCTTAGTTTCTCCACTGGGTAAAATAGATATACTTAACTAAGAGAGTTGTCATGAGATTAAATTATAAAGCATGTAGTACTATAGCAGTAATATACTGCCTGAGAATAAAAAGCCCCCACAATTATTGTTTTGAAATCTTTAATAAATTTCTCTTAGAACTGAATGTTAATTGACTGATGAGTTGATTTTCTACCAGGAAATAAGATTTGGCATGGAGCTTACATTCATTCACTATTTGCCAAGCTCTGTGCTAAATTTTATATGAACTTTCTTCAGTTAATTTAATCCTCACTTCAATCTGGTAAATTGGTTTGAAAACATAGGGGAGCATTTAAGTTACATTTAAGTAACTTAAAACAATCTTCTCAATTGGTAATTAAAATAATATTATCTTTAAATTTTTCAGCACTGTTTCATTAAGTGAGAGAGTCCACCAAGCACTTAATAGGTGGAAAACGGACAGTAACAACTTGTCACTAACTACAGCTGCTTTAAGAGACCAACTAACTCGGACACTAATGATGATAGGAGCTTATGAAATTATGGACAAGATAACAGCTTTAAAACTTTTTACATGTGCAATTAAATTCTGAACAGTGTACACATAATAAAAACTGAAAATTTATGGTGTACTTACATAATTGAAACTGGATATAAGAGAATTGCATGTCATGTTTCTTTTCATGCATTTTTAAAAGATAATGACAATTTATGGCTATCACTTTAATCACTGTGATAATAAAATATCACACACACTGGTTTGTGTATTTGTTATGTTGCCCTGGAACTATGGTAATAATAAAAAAATTATGTTTATTTTGAGAAAGAGAGAGAGAGATCGCTTCTTGGCTTTTTGGCTAAGATCAAGTGGAGAAAGAGAGAGAGAGCAGGGGAGGGGCAGAGAGACAGGGAGAGAGAGTATCCCAAGCAGGGCTTGATCCCATGAACTGTGAGATCATGATCTGAGCTGAAATCAAGTGTTGGATGCTTAACCGACTGAGCCACCCACGTGCCTCAGTAATGATTTTTACAAAGAAATAATTCTATTTAAAAATTCTTTTTTATATAATGCTTTTAAACAACCCAGGATTTATAGGTAATAAGGTCATTAGTAACTTTCATTGGAGTTAGAAATCAGATCAATTTCATTTTAGATGCTAGCTTAAAAATTCATTCCTCCATTTGGAATGCAAGAACTCTGTTAAATATAAACCAGAGCCAAGATCAGTAATCCTCTACAGAGCTCCCTCAACTTTTAACGGGGTTCCATCCCGATAAACCCACTATAAGTTTAAAATAACATAAATCCAGAAAGTAGTTTATACCACATCTTCTTTACATGGACACTTGGGCTGCTTCCAAATTTGGCTATTGTATATAATGCTGCAGTAAACCTAAGAGTGCATGTATTCCTTTGAATTAGTGTTTTTGCAGTTTTTGGGTAAATGCCCAGTAGTGTGATTACTGGATCAAGGAGTTCTATATTTTAATTTTTTGAGGAACATCCAAACTGTTTTCCACAGTGGCTACGCCAGTTTGCATTCCTATGAACAGTGTAAGAGGGTTCCTTTTTCTCTACATCTTTGCCAATACTTGTTATTTCTTGTGTTTCTAATTTTAGCCATTCTGGCAGTTGTAAGCAATATCTCATTGTCATTTTGACTTACATTTCCCTGATGATTAGTGATATTCAGCATCATTTCATGTGTCTACTGGTCATTTGTATGTCTTCCTTCAAGAAATGTCTGTTCATATCTCCTACCTATTTTTTAACTGGTTTACTTGGGTTTTTTTTGGGGGGGCGGGGTGTTGCGTTGTATCAGTTCTTTATAGATATTGAGTACTAACTTTTTATTCGATATGTCATTTGCAAATATCTTCTCCCATTCACTAGGCTGCCTTTTAGTTTTTGTTGAATGGATAAAGAAGGTGTGGCATATATACACAATAGGATATTATTCAGCCATAAATAAGAATAAAATCTTAATTTTTTTTTAATTTTGGAGAGAGAGAGAGAGCATCAGTGGGGAAGATGGGCAGAGGGAGAGAGAGAGTATCTCAAGCAGGCTCCACACTCAGCGCAGAGCCCAATGTGGGCCTCCATCTCACAATGCTGGGATCATGACCTAGGGAGACATCAAGAGTCAGATGCTCAGCCAACTGAGCCACCCAGGAACCCTAATAAGAATAAAATCTTATCATTTGCAACAACGTGGATAGAGATAGAGAGCTAAATCAATCAGGGAAAGGCAAATACCATATAACTTTACTCATATGTGTAATTTAAGAAACTAAATGAGTTAAGGAAAAAAGAGAAAGAGACCAAGAAACAGACTCTTCCCCCGACCCCACCAAGAAACAGACTGATGGTTACCAGAGGGGAGGTGGGTGAGAAATCAGTAAAATAGCTGATGGTGAGTCAAGAGTATTCTTATTATGAAGAGCACTGAGTAATGAACAGAATTGCTGAATCACTATACTTTATACCTGAAACTAATATAGCACTGTATGTTAACAATAATGGAATTAAAATTAAAAATTTAATTTAAAAGAAGTAGTTAACACAGCTAATCTACTGAACATCATAGTTTACCCTAGCCTACCTTAAATGTGCACAGAATACTTACATTAGCCTACAGTTGGGCAAAATCATCTAACACAAAGCCTATTTTATAACAAAGTGTTAAATATCTCATGCAACTTATTAAATACTGTACTGAAAGTGAAAAACAGAATGGAAATATGGGTACAGAATGGTATTTGTTCTTTAACTCTCTTTCATCATGGCTGAGGGGCTGCTTCTAGGGGTTATTCCACAGCACTTCTGGCCTACCCAGACTAGCCAAGAGAAAGCCCTTAAGTTGGAAAGTTACAGGTACGTACATTAGACAACATTATCTATAACATGAATAGGACATGTCTAGGAGATTTGAGTAGGGCATCAAGAATACTATATGGGGTAACAATATTTTGCAGGATTGTTGTTGTGGGGATTTAAAAAAAAGGTTTGAAATGGGGTGTTGCTGCTTATCTGAGACTCAATATCTAGAATCCTGCTTTGTCACAGCCTCTGATGACCTGAAGAAGGCCCTATGAATGGAGAGTGAGATCAAGTAAATGCTGTTTTGTCAAAACTCTTTCCATCGCAAAGGACAGAAACCTTATCTAGTTAAGCTAAAAAAACAAAATGAAACAAAACAAAAAACTCCACAAAAACACAAAAGCCTACTCATGTAACTGAAGCCAGAGAAGACCTAGGTGAAACTAGCTTTGAGTTAACTGTGAGGAAGAAAAGTTTAATGAAACAAAACACATTGCACTGTGTTTGGGTTCTAGACAAAAAGTGTTTAAAACATTTTATTAAATTTTACTTGTAGCAAGAAGAGAACAAAATAGTTAAAATTGTAGTTTCTAGAGTTCAATGCATTTTTTAAAAAAAGCTGAGGCTGACTGTTTGATAATTTACATAAACAAATACAATGTAAAACTGTGTCTAATTTTTAGAATTATTATTTATGAATTTTTAAATTAGCTAAACAAGTTTTTACGAACATTTGAAGCAATAAAGTCAGTAAAGTCTTCATTTGTGTAACAGAGAAGTGAACTAGTTAGTTTATTTGCACTAAGAAAATTATCTAGTGAAAAGTAAGTTGTCAAAACAAAAATGTGGTTTTTTTGGCTTTCTATCTAGCTAACAAATTTTACTGATAAGAAGCTAACTTCCAGGGTGCCTGGGTGACTCAGTCAGTTGAGCGTCTGACTTCGACTTGGGTCATGATCTCATGGTTCGTGGGCTCAAGCCCTGCATCGGGCTCTGTGCTGACAGCTCAGAGCCTGGAACCTGCTTCGGATTCTGTGTCTCTCTCTCTCTCTGCCCCTCTCCCATTCATGCTGTGTTTCTCTCTGTCTCAATAATAATAAACATTTAAAATTTTTTTAAAAAGAAGCTAACTTCCATTCTTAAGGAGAAAGTTAATATTTTTAAAAATACTTTTTCCCCTAATGAATGAGAGAGCCTTCTACTTTTATTTCAGAGCGACATGATATACTGAGCAGTTTAGGGATTCTTTTCTTTTGACTCAGATTCCATGTTTTAGCCTCATTTTCTCAGTCTCTAATCTGTGACAAAGAATGCCTTTTGGTAGCGCATTGAAAAAAACGTTGATTTATTTCTTTGTATCTAGATATTCTAGAAAAGGAGTGCAATTAGCTTGGTTTGCACTGAGCCTACATCTTGGAGTGATATATCTTAGTGGATTATAAACAGAATAGATAAGTACTTACTTTTATCCCTAACCTTATTTTCACAATTCTGATGAAAGACAAATTCTGATGAAAGACAAATTTAAGAAGAATACCAGCAAAAGGAAATTGTTCATCCTAAAGCCTAGAACATAGCGTCATCCATCCACTCCCCCCAGGCCAACCTAAGGCATATGTGGTTACTGTTACCACTTACCTCAACAAACCCCATTTTCTTTTCCTTTTTTGGCATGCTACCAAACTACATTTCTAAACATCCCTTGTGGTTATGGGGGTCTACTGTGATTGAATTCTCACTACTGAAACATAGGCAGAAGTGACTAAGTTGTTTCCAGATCTAGTTTCTAAATAGACATTCCATTCCTTAACTGGAGGTCCTGTTTTGTGGGCATGGTACATCCACAAAATTAAGGAATCTAGGTCCCTGAGTCTCAACTCAGAACACAGCTCCTCAACTAGGCATGACTATTTTGTACTGTTGCATAAGGGAGAAATAAACTCTTATTGAGAGTCTGAGGTCTTGGGATGTTTTGTTGTAGCAGTTAACCTACCCTAACCATAGGAGTGACCCAAGAAAGACCAGATGCAGGACTGTCCTAGTGCCAAAGTCATGGAAGAGAAATTTGTAAGGATTCTATGATTCAGTAAATACCCTTACTTTCCTTTCACTTATATTAGCATTTCTCCTTATTGGTACAATTAAAGGAAGTATTATAAAAATTGAGAGGAGGCTGAAACTTTCTATAGAGTCATCAAAAGAAAAGTGCTTTATATAAAGAAGATGCTTAAGAAATAGCAGCCTTTAATAGAGTTCTGTTTAACATTTAATCATTGTAAGCCCTGTTAACCTTTATCACTGTCTATTATGGTCCTTCAGGGGGAGCCTGGGTGGCTCAGTAGGTTAAGCATCTGACTGGCTTGGATCATGATCTCACGGTTCGTGGGTTCTAACTCCATGTTGGGCTCTGTGCTGACAGTCAGTTCAGAACCTGGAGCCCATTTCAGATTCTGTATCTCTCTCTCTCTGACCCTCCCCTGCTCACGTTCTCTCTCTCTCTCTCAGAAATAAATTAAAAAATAAAATAAAATAAAATACTGTGCTTCATCAGGAATCTATAACTGAATTTTCCACACTTTACCTTGGATTATTATCATGTATACTATACATCTATTTTATTATATTCTAGTTAGAAAACATGGTGAAAAACAGTAAAAGAAGTTTTTAAAAAGGAAACAACATAATTTAAATTTAACATTTACATTTAAATATAATTAAATTTAATTTAATTAAATCTAGAGGGGCTGAGATGACAGTTAACTTTAATTTTATTTTTGCTCATTTGTATTTTCCATTTTTTTCCCGATGAGTACATGTTGAAAAAAGAGTAAAAATGGGGT